CCTACGACAAACGACCGCATTACCCATGGCGCGCGTACAACCTTCCCAAACCCAAGCGGGAGGTGCTTGCTAAGACGTGGAGAATGAGGTTTCAAGAGATTACCGCTGAACAAATGCTGGCGACGATCTCCAGACCCTTCTCTAGATTCAGGGCGCCTTTTGAGTTTGGCGGAAACATAGAGAAAAAGCGTAGTGCCACCGCTGACCAAGATGTGCAAGATGGGGACATTTCTCCGCGGACCAAAAAACGACGTTTGGAGCAGAAAGACGCAGCGTCTTTGGCACCAATGCTGAGCCAGCCACCTGTTTTAATCAATGGTCGGCCACCCCAACAATACCCAGCCGGCAATCCTGCAGATATGCAGAAGCCATCCTCCTCCTTTCAACCAACTTCTACCCGTACGCTTCAGCGCGTATCGTCCTAATTTATGCTACGTTGCGATGGACTGCCCGCGGCGATTTTCACTGCGCCACTCCTGTCGTTTGCCTTTCTTTGACAATAATTGCCAATACGCGTCGTAAAGTAATGTTGTGACTGTATTACCTTTTTACTTGCTTGGGATGAGGTATCTCCGGAGATTGTAGCATTGCTACCAAGTTAGCTGTACTCCGAATTCCTTGTAATATTCCTTGTAATGTTTTTTTTGTTCTATTCACTTTCCAAACTCTTCCGTGAAAATAATCAGATAGACACGTGATAGCCCATTCATCAACGTCGATCACCGATCATATAGATCATAATCGAAATTGCTGAACGGAGAGATTACTCAATGATATCGGTAAAGCTTTATGTAACTACCCGAACCTTGTTAGGCGTATGTTTTAAACCCTGCCCGTCTTCAAGCCTTTATGCAGTGCGACATCGGGTCAATGTACAACTAGTCGAATCGCATCTGCGCAGTTGAGAATAATATATCATTTTATCAGTAAAATCACCCGCCAGGAAACCAACTGGCCTTCCTGGGGAAAAAGGTTAAGTATCCTTCGTACAGTCAAATGATGTCTGAAACTAAAGTAATAGAGCAGGCCGTCAGACAGTGTTTGCAAGGACCATTCAGCATCTCAGGCAACGGCATTAGAATGATGCTTGGCAGCGATTTAGACAGTAGCTTGCACGTCCTCTTGGAGGAACCGCCACTAGTGCTGAAGTGCACGGTACACCCAGTGACTGATTTGAGGCAATAGTCGTCGATTTTTGACCTCGGAAGTCTCAAAGTCGGATGTTGTCTTTGGTTGTCGGAACGCCAGCTTGCGTCGCTTGGAAATGAGACAATTGTGAGAGGGCGCGGTCAGCCACTCGAAACTCAAGGAGCCGTACTCTCAAGAGATCCATGAAGCGGTTGCTGACCTTATGCAGGTCAGAGTCTATTGTGCAAGTTGATACCATACTGGTGCATATTTGGATGAGGCTGATTTACTCCGGCAGCAATGTTGTGGGGGGGGGGGAATATCGAAGATACACAATCTTTAGAGATGCGCTGGAGTTCATTGAGGATATGCATGATTCATACCGTCCCTTCGTCGCAATGAATGCATGAGGACATCCGATTTCATGTTGGTTCCGCCTGCTCACGGGTTGTACCATTCCAAGGTACAGTGGCAATGCATTGTGATTCAGCGAGGTGATTGCAGCGAATGCTGCTGGAGCCCTGCAGTTGAGATTGTGTGGAAATATCCCGTCTGTAAGTTGCCTGATACTTTCGCGGAGCTCCTGTGTACGAATATTGAGATAGTCCATTGGCAGGCTGAAGCATGAGCGATGTAATGACCGCAGTTGATCAGCGACAACGATTGAAGTATATAAAACGACTGACCTATATTGTCCAAGTCTGATTACAGCAGACCTGGTCCCAATGCTTGCCCACCCTGTCCGCGCCCGCCATCAAGTCACTAGTCAGGCCTCAACAGCGTCACAATCCCTCGCGAACACAAGTACCTCAGATATATAAACATATCGTCCCGCCACGAGGCTCTGTCCTGCGGGCAATAAACATTCAAGCAAGGAACCTTAACGAATGATGTTAAACTTGGGAATTCCAGGCAGGCACCACAATAAGGCTGTGGACAACAGTTGCTTCGACCTACACACAGATTGGTTGAGATGATGCTATTTCGTGTTGTCGTGTTCTAGGCTGACTCCTAGAGACTTCTAGCAGGATTTGTTTGATTGTTGAACGGAAAAACCAACGAAGTTCTTGCTTGACAAATCCCGCCAGTTCACTTAATTATTAGTATATTAGTGATGACTAGGAGCATATGATGATGATATCCCCGACTCCCACGATTAGGGGAAGGGATGTAGACTTGCGTCAGATCTCGTCGTTTCTGTCAAAGGCAATGTCGTGGGAACACCGGCTATGTAAACTTCTTTTCGTTTATTATTGGTTCTGTTTTGTCTTCTTGGCCTGCGCCTGCGATTATTGGCATTACACTTATGCCTCTATTGAGCGTCTGCCCGCTCGATGAGGTTTACTTGACGGTTGACCATGCTGTTGAACCATATAGTATGATCCTGTCTACTATCCCGAATTGCGTCCACATATCTACCGAACCGCGACCTCTTTCTGCTCCTGGCTCCAGGCCGCGTTCGCGGTTTAGTTTGCCTCCCAACTTTTATGTACGTTGTGTTTCAATCACACGCCGTGTTCCTCTTACGTTTGATGGTTCATGTCTTTGTATATTACTGGGCAGGCGCGAGTGTTTGGACACGCGCATTTTGAATCTGAAGGATATAACCATTGCACTCTCTTTAGCCGCTATTTCCCTCTCCCACTTGATCACATATTGCTTATTGTACGGCTGTGTTGTAATGCGATGATCATCCATGGTTTTGAGTACTGTTCGCGTTGCGCGCTCCTCTTTTAACCTTACCCCAAGCAGGCAATGAACAAATACTCGGAGGGGCAGTGAAATTAGCGCACGACATGCGTCGATAAATTTTGTGCATGTGAGTCTTACATAATGCAAAAGTGTTTGTACTTTGTACTCTGTGACTCACTCCGAGTCCCGAGTAAGGCCAGAGTCCGAGTCCACGTAAGCCCATACATACTTTATTATCGCTAACCAAACCATCTCTTACAGATCAGCGCATAGGGTAACCCGATCGAGCATTCATATCTCCCCCAACCAGACCGCTATCAGCACTTTGACCTAAGCACTCCGAGGTCACCATCGAGATGTGCGTGTTCACACAATAAGAATCGAGGAAATTCAGTCATTCTCGGTATTAGGAAGCAGACACCGCCATCGAGTCTTGGTGTGGGTGACAAGATCGGAGAAGGGGACTCTAGCCTCATGCTTAACGTGCTTCCCCCTAAATTATGTGACACAGCGTTCAAGCAGATAATAGACGAGGTTGATTGGAATGTTATGTATCACCGTGGTATGCCCCTTCCATCACCTCGTGTTGCCCGGGCTCTGACATGACTGGGCGTTCAGGTGGTGAGGTACCGAGGCGCGTGGCAGTCGAGGGGGAGATATCAAATGATGGAAGGTACTTTCTCTCCTCGCCGCATTTTCGATAAGCTGATCCTGTTCAACTTCAGCTTCCCAATTTACCGACATCCGGCAGATGAGTCCCCTCCGCTTCGACAATTTTCCCCAACGGTAGCTACCATCCGCGAGCATGTGGAGAACGTTCTTGATCACCCCGTGAACCATGTCTTAATTCAACACTACCGTAGTGGTGCGGACTACATCTCAGAGCACTCTGACAAGACGATCGATGTCGTGCGTGGATCGAAGATAGTCAATGTCAGCCTAGGCGCTCAGCGAGTAATGACGCTTCGTCTGAAACGAGATGGGGTGCAACAAACAGGTGTCAGTGCCGTGACCCCACGGCCATCACAGAAAATTCCGCTGCCTCATAATTCAATGTTCGTCCTTGGTCTCGACACGAATGCGAAATGGTTGCACGCAATTAACCATGACAGACGTCCGATACATTTAAAGTCCGCAGAGGAACAATTCATGAATGGAGAGCGCATCAGTCTCACGTTCCGTCATATCGGCACATTTCTTTCCGGAGATGAATCACGTATATACGGCCAGGGGGCCAGGGGAAAGTTTTGTGAAGCGGGTCGCGCAATTATTAGCGGCGGGGAGGAAGCTGCGAAACTCTTGGAAGCATTTGGTAAGGAGAACCAACAGAGCGATTTCGACTGGGAAGAAGCGTACGGAGAGGGTTCCGACGTCTTGCATTTCACTCCGAGGGAGTCATGAGACAACCAACATCGGTGTTAAAGTTATTTACTGATTAGATTAAATACCTGTAGTGAAGTACGAGCTACGTTATCATTGTTTCTGTTGTTCTTCATGTCTCCCGCCTAGCAACGACCGGGCGACACTTAGGTGACATTGGAAAACACAGATACACAACTCTCTCCCGTATCACCATCACTGTCACCAGCTTGGCTCGTTGCAGTCATTAGCTTCCCGCAGCGCAGGAAGCTGTCAGTATTTCTAGCAAAAGCTTTGCGCGTCCTTTCGTTCTCCAGCGTCACTCTTTTCATTCGGTTCGAAGGTTGCAGCCGCTGGCTATCACTAAAGTCCGATTTGATTCCGTAAAGATCTGGTAAGCGGAAGCATTTTTGTTCGGTTTCCTTTTTGGGAGGGGCAAGATATTTAGTTTTTCAGGGCAGAGCGTGTTCGTTTTGTGCGCGCGCCTTCTTCCCACCTTTTGGTTCACTTATACGAAAGGCAAAGACACGAGGCTCTTAATCGTGGACTTGGAACACGAGGCTTGCTTGTTCCTTTTAGATCTCTTCGGTATATCGACCTTGGGGACTTTTATCTTAACCTCCCGCTCTGCATCTTGCTCATCATCTTATTCGCATCCTTTCACTGGACATTCCATTTTCTAATATTCAACCAACCAGAAAAAAAATTATCCAACGCGACACCAACTTATATTCTGCTACGTTTTCACGAACTCGCTTATTATTTCATCTTTTGCATGATATTTTCATTTTATTAACGATATGTCACGACTGCAGCCCAGCATGTCTTCAGAATCTCCTCTAAGCGCATCTGCGCCTGGGGATTCCCCAAACAGAGGCTACGTCTCTGAACGCCCCTCTTCTTCTACTCATCCGAGAATATCAGAAGGTTCAGAAGGTTATCCCTCATGGCTTCCAAGGAGGCCTCCGCCGCCTGCACCAGCATCAACTTTCCACTCCTCCGTTGCAATGTTCGAGCCTCCCCCACCCGAGACGTTCTCGGGCGGTCGAAAGGCTACACCACGTTCTGTGCGTGTTGTGAGCCTCCAGGAAAATGCGCAGGCTAGCGCTAATCCGTATAATCGCCGGGATATCACAGACCAGACTTTGCAGAGTAATCCTCTACGTCCTCGAGTCTGGTCACGTGCTACGACTACTGGCTTGAGTGAAACTGTAGTGTTACCAGCAGTCAAAACACAGGAGCACTCTCAGCCACCAAAGTTTCGGTCAACTGGTCTCCATCCGGAACTGCTTCGGAACCCTTCTGCCCTAACTCGTCTTTACTTTTACTTGCTTCCTCTCATGACTTTCTACCACATTCCTCTGCAAACATTCTTCGACTTCAATGCTGTATTTATAATGTTGCAGTATGTTTATATCTTGTTCAAGGATCAATAGGCGCAGTCTCATTTTATCATTCCGCAGGATCGCCAGGTCTCCTAATCCTTCCGCACCAGGTGTGCCAGGTTCGGGCAAGAATTGGGCTCTCGGTGCTGCAGCGTACATAGCTTGTTGGCTGGCTTGGATTACTATGGTTCTTGTTCTATATGAACTTGTCTACTCCTTCTGGCGCCGATGGCGTGTCAGTGAGTACTATTTCTCAACAAATTATATTCGAGACTGAATAACGATATAGAGCGACCGCTCATCACGCCATTATATCTTTCTTCGGCTGCTTTCAACCTTGCTTCCATGACGTCATACACGAACTTCTGCTTCATGCAGTACATCCGCTTCTCGGCTTTCTTTGGCGAAAATGGTAGTCTTCGCGATGGTATTGCGGAAACGTTCTGGTTTTACTCGCAGAACCTGCCCACTGTCGCGCTTCTACTACCTAGAGCGGGACTCTCCCTAGCTTTGCTACTCGCATTTACATCCGCTTCTCCTGATTATGTTGCTATGCTCGAAGCTGGCTTCATTCGCCGTGATGGAACTTACTTCAGTGCGTCTGATGGCACACTAACGGTTTACGCCCGTGGCGTTCTTATAGCCAATGCTGCTTGGACGGCGTGGCGTGTTCTTGTGCTGCTCTTCAGCTGGTGAGCAATCACAGGCCAAGATATTTCGTTTTCTTCTGATTTTTTTAAAATATGAACAGGATTGGACTGTGGATTCTTAGTGGCCAGGCATGCGCCGGACTCTGTGGGCCGCGTTTCAGATGGGAGGAAGATGATCGCGAGAAGTCTCTGTCCAACTACAACGGTGACGGTGCCTCTGAGGCGGATGCTCTCCCGTGGCACTGGAAAATTTGTACGCGTCTACGTATCCAAGAAGCATATGATTTCTGCTTGACGGTGAAGCCTCCTGCACGGTGGTCTGGTACCGCAAAGAAGGATGAACCGGGACCGCTGGGCTTGAAAACCTCTCCACCGTTCGAAGTTGACCAGGTGCTTGCGGCTGTCGGTTTGTCTTCCGTGCCACCACTAGCAAGGCGCGGTGCGCTTTCAGAGGATCTTTTCGCTCTTCCGAGAGAGGTGTCTGGTGAGGCGCCAGCACCTCCACCGGAGCTGTCCGAGATCATCCCCAAAGTCGTAAAGAGATCATCGAAGGATAAGGAGATGTCCGGTCCTTCGGCACCTCTCCTCAAGCTTCCGTATCCGTTCGCCGGGTATGGTGCTCAAGTGTCATCTAAAGATCAAATTCCTTTCCCGCCTTCCCCTGGTTCCACAAAGGAAAAGCGCAGATCACCACCCACCAGCGGCTCAGAACGTCCAGCACAAGATGATGAAGAGGATGAAGAAGAAGCAGAAGAAGAGGATGATGATGACGACGACGATGACGACGACGACGATGATGATGAAGAGGAATCAGACGAAGAGGCCGAGGTTGAGATCGAGGTCGAAAATAACAGCGAAGCTCCGCCACGTACCTCGGGTTCAATGTCCAGTCTTGGACAGCCAGTATCATCTCGTTACCCATTCCAAATTCGTCGTCCTGGCCGTGGAGGTTCAGTTTCTTCAACGACTGGTACACACTCGACTCCTAAAACACATCCATCAACGAATACTCGTTCAACGGTGTCGCGAACGTCAACTTCTACACAATCCACTGGCAATCGTGATACCTCATCTGAATCTCCCCATTCGCATGGCATGAGCTCGGGGTTGTCCAGTCCTAGTTCTGGATATGGTAGCCCGATACCTATGCCACCTCGTCATCCCCAACCAGGCCGTGGTCGCGCTCGTGCAGGAACCGTTCCAGCGTTGTCGCCTCCCTCTCCGATCGTGTACACTGCTCCCACCAGAATTCGTGTCGATAGCGCCAATACCGAGACTTTTGGTGGCGGCGGTTATGAATCCTTCCTTAGTGAGGAGGTTGACGATGACGATGAGGCAGGGGAGGATGGGGAGGAGGAGGAACAGACAGAAGACCAGTACGATGAGCCTCAGATGATGGAGCAGCCTGTGCCTGAAGGTCCCCATGAAGCTGCGGAAGGCGAGGATAGTGTTGGTCTCCTCGGAGTTGGTCCTCGCAGCCCGAAATCATCGATGGTCAGCAGCCGTCGCCGTCGTGGTCATCGCTCAGATTCTGGGGTTCACAATCTGGACGTTCTCGATCTAATTCTCGATCTGCCTCTCAATCGGGTTCGTCGAGTTCTCGTGCTGGTTCAGCCGTTCGTTCGCGGACGCAGTCACTCATACACAGCATCGGAGCCGCCTCACGATCATCGTTGGATCTTGTCCAGTCCATACGCTCTCGTGCAAATTCGTCTATGGCTCGTCTTGAGGAGGATACGACGTATTCATCCGACTCTCGCTCACGTAGCGGGTCGGACGGAGTTCACAGCAGCAACGAGAATTATACTTTCGGAGTGAGGCCACCTATGGGGCAACGCTCTGGGTCACGTCTGAGAGAGACTTCCTCGAACCCCTCCATCTATACCCCCTCTATTTCTGCACCTTCAGAGGCGACTACCTCTCGTCTCACTGCTCGCCCTACCTCCCGTGAGCGAGAGGTCGAGCGATTAGATATCCCCGGGCGGCCGTATGGGGGACAAAGTGATGATAGCCGACCCGACATCAGTACCGCAGCTCAGTCGTTCATAACAGCGGCTGCTACATTAGAAGGCACCTCAGCATCTAGTGAACCCCCAGCAAGTTGGCAAGAAGTGTCGCACATGGTTGACAGACCAGGTACCGAGTGGAGACCTGCATGAGCATTCCTCGTTTTCTCAGATTTTTTTGCGTGCTACTTATTTGACATCATCTATTCACATTCTTCCACATCATGACACGTAACTTGACAACTCTTCATTCCATAATTCAACACTGGAGTTACATTTCACACTTATTCCCGCGCGAGACCGTTTACATAATTCTTCTACCGTTGATACTCCTGTTCTACCTAGCTCAATGGCAACCTCATGGATTCGAACTTTTCCACCTACAAGCCTGTTATGACTGTTCGACTTCGGGTGGAATACATATTCTGCGATATAATGAAGAGCGTACTTGATGACAATGTATACTGGTTTTTGGAGCTAGGCGCTCAGCGCCCTAACACTGCTACATGTCATGTACGTATCCGTAGAGCTCTCACGCCAACACCCCTGAAAGTGACAATGTGCTCGGGTAGATATGACATGGAACACATCGAAGTCAGAAAAATTGTGTTTGAGGACTGTTGTGCAGGGATTTTTTAAACTGCACGAGCGGCACACGGTAGGTCAAAGTAGACGTACCTCATTTCAATGGCATACTGATATCCAAGGTTGTGATCCGTGTCGAGGGGGTGATCTCGTGGTGAACGGGATCAACGTTAATAAGCGCGTTAGTCAGATAAGCATAATTAGCGTTCAAAGAGTATAAAATTGAAAAGATTCTGCAGTGCCTGCAGACGTGTATCACCGCACTCAACAAGGCGCTGAGCGGGCGACGAGGAAACTCATTCTCGAGAGAAGTGGCAATTTCCCCGCCAGAGCTAAGCGCTAGCATACTACATCCAGAAAGTATCGGTTGATGCAATAATATGAATAGTCGTCAGATTGACAGGGAAGCAAATAAACCGTAGTGTTACAATTATGGGCGACGACTGTACAAATATGCAGGAGATGAACCGCCAACCTCTGCATATCCAAAAAGAGGATAATGAGATCAAAAATTAGGAAAGCAACGAAGAAACTGGAAGAGTGCGCACGTTCTACCATCACATCGATCGTATCTAGATAGGAGTAAATTCAGAAACAAACAAATATACGACAGAGGAAAAAGGCTCACCGTTGTCCTCCATTTCGAGGCTTGCAGGCGTATCATCGTCGTTGATTCTCGATCCGTCGTACAAAAATCTGATTGAGGATTGTTCAGCAAATTGGGAACCAACACAGTTTATGCCACCCATAACAATCCACCTGCCCAATAAGTGGAAATTTTACTCACCGAATGCTGCCCACATCCTTACCGACTTTAGTAGCATAAGCGCCTTGAAGCTTGCTCAACTTGGTGTTGCTCTTGATTTTGAAGAAAACCTCGTCCCCAGTTGAGCTTACAACCTGGGGGAGAAGATCAGACTTGCGATCCGTTGTAAGATGGGAAGTCGCGTCAATCGATGCGATGCCATCGATTTTCGTACCTTGACATTAATTGGCGCGTTGTCCTCAAGCTTAAAGCCTTCTTGTCCTTGAGAATTTTGCTGCAGCTCTTCGGCCATGGTAGCGAGTAAAGATTGTACAAATAACGTGAATAAAGATCAGGAAACGCGGATAACGTGGGTAAGATAAACTCGGTGAGGAAGTGACGAAGACAAGGAGGAACTTGTGTGGACGGGACGGCGAGCAGAGATTGTCGGTGTTTGTACTGCTTCTTTTACCTAATCCGCACAGATCCTCAACTCCCCGCGGTAAGTGTGAAAGCAATCCAGTCTATGTATTCAGAATATGTATAAAGCTTTAAAAGGTTCAACTGTAAACCAAATCGATGTAAAAAATTATATGTGAAGGTGTGTAACAATTAACCGAGGACTGCGAATGAAATGCTGACGATGATAACGAATTTGAAGAACAAATATCGATCAAGGGCCAAAAGGGATGTAACAAGTGTGATCCCTGTTTGAGCTCGGAATGACTTAAACTCGGCGACAGGCTATACATCCTTCTTCTTCCCTTTATCTTTCTTACCGGCTCTGCTAAGCAGTTTCCGTGCACGACTGTATTCCTCATCTTCGTCACTCGAGTCTTGCCATATGACAGGTTCGCTGGATTCATCATGATTGTCACAGTCCTTCTTCGCTGAGCTCCAGGGGTAACGGCCATGGGCCTCATCATCTTCCAGAGCAGGCGGAGTAGGAGAGAATGTCGGCTGAAGAGATACCCGAACACTCTTCCGTCTTGTCGGTGTTTCAGTGGAGACAGTGGATGACTCGGTGTCATGTTGCGGAGCCGGGGGAGTTGACCCCCCCTCGATAGGACTTTCCTCCGCCGTTCTATATGATGATATTGATGTCATCGAAACTGAATCTCTTATCGAGATATCATTCAGTTCATTAGCCTGCCCGGGCCGGGCTGGTCTTGGAGTGCGCTCCTCGGGTGCATCCCGCTCTGGTGTCCGTCCACGAGGTTTACTATCCTCAGCGCTTACATCAGCTCCTCGCTTTCGTATCTCTGATAATTGAGCTGGGCTGGGTGATGGTGTACGGCTGGAATTTCGAAGAGCTGAACGAAGAGGTGACACAGCTGGTCGGGAGGTCTTTCTGGATTCGCTTCCAGGAACTGCAGCTGACTTGTGACTCCCCTTTCCTATAGACGGGCGACGCGGTGGGGTTTCGTGTTTGGGTCTCGCTGTTCCTTGTGCGCCCGGAACAACCGGGAAGGACTGAGATGCAGAAAAAACTGACCCCGGTGCACGGGGAATATCCAATGATCCTGAGCGGACAGGAAGCCGATCATGGGAAAGTTTGGGGGACCACATTGCGTTGATGGGCACACCTGGTATAGGGGCACGCGGGACCTCAAGTTTAGTAGTACTTGGAGATGGACTCGATGAGCCTGTAACTGTAGCACCCCGGCTGTTGCGATTCTGTCGTGCGACATCCTCAACGATGCTCATAAGGCTCACACTGGTGCTCCCTTTCGCTGGAAGAGGAGGATGTATGGTCACTGCTTTGGGTGTGCGCTTGGATCTTGATCTCGCAGTTCCAGGAGAATCCCCCGGGTGTTGAGGTGCAGCACCATATGTGAGGGAGGCTGACCGTCGTGGATAACCTTCACGAGGCGTTTCCCCATTGCCGCTGTCAAGATTCCCGGAGAGGTCTGTACTTGCTCTGCGATGTTGTGGCTTGACTGCTACTTGATTCGGGGCCGACTTTACGCTATTTCGCATCGAGAGTGAGGATGCACGTGAAAGATCGAGTGGTTGAACCTGAGGACTGGAGGTTGGGGTTATCTGTCGCTTTACAGACGGACGTCGGGTAACAACCTCCGACTGACTCCGAGATGGGAGGCCTGCAGGAGTTGAATTGTTTGCGTCAAGCTCGCCAGTCTGTATACCCACCGTCCCTGCCCTTTAACTCCGCAACTGACTTCTTCTTTTTCCGCCTGACGCTTGTGCGTGGACTTGCAGAAGGAGGTCCGTCAGTTTGCCATCCACTAGAGGATGCGAGAGCTGTCGTCTGTGACCGGCCCTTGCGCAACTTCGCACCTCTTGAAGGCAGAGGGGGCTTGCGAATTGTCTCAGGCTCAGACTCTGAGCTGTCTTGAGATTTGGAAGCCTTCAGGTTTGCATCTGTTCGCGTAGACCAGCCCTTCTTCCCTTTGTTGCTTGTACTCGCATCCGGGGACTCTGTAGCACCACTCCACTCCACCCGAGTTTGATCCTTGTGCGAGATCTTGAATAAACCGCGCAGAGAGCCGAAGAAACTCATGGATGGTATATGCTCCCGCTGTTTACCGTTACGCTTGGGTGTGTGCTCAACAGCGTCTGGAGATACCTCGTGACGCAAAGAGAAGCGTTTGGATTGACTGAATGGATCGTTCTCGATAACCTCTAAGGGACCATGAGTCTCCTCCTCTTCACTGCTAGTGTCCGCACCACGAGCGCTGTTAGGGGATGGGAAGTAGGAGTTTGTTACGACAGCAGGCCCCTCCCTGTACTCATTTTCGTCTATCTCAGTTATGCGCCTGGATAATGGACGGCGGATCTGTTGTGCACTACTGCTAAGTAGGAGGGGGCGGGTCTCGAGGTCTGTTGAACTCCCAGGTACAGGGGCCCTGAGAGGGGACGGAGAACGGACACCAGTGGGCATGGTAAGTTCTGAGATGGCGTGTGCAGGAGGAATACTGATTGTCACGTCTTCATGGCCATTGGAGCTAGGATGATCAGGAATTACGCCTTCTTGGCTAACTCCACGAGAGGGCCCATCGTGTTGTTGCGAAGCACTTTGAGAAGGTGTGAGGGAGGAAATGTCGGAGGAGTAGGATATTGGGCCCTGTGTGACATGAGAAGGTAGCGTGAGAGGCTTTTGTTTGGGAGTAATGGACGTGGAGGGTGGATGCGAGTTCGATGGAAATGACGCCAAAAGCGGTTGTGGTTCTGGATACGCGTGCATCACGCTTGTGAATAAATAATCTGGAACAATAAAACAATATAGAAACACACCTTGAGCATCTGGACTTGAAGCATTAAGAGTCTGTAAGGCCCGGAGACCTTCCTTGCCCATTTCGCCCCAAGTCCACCCACAATCAATAAGAGCCCGACAGCGAGCACCGAGACCTTCTCTAGCTATGCTGACCCGAAGTGCCTCTAACTCCAACTCTTTAGTGGCCAAATGAGCCTCACATGCGCGTAGCTCCTCTTGAGTTTGCAGAAGTTTGGTATTCGAAGAGCCGTGTAACGTAGAATTGGTAGAAGGGAGAGATATAAATGAGGTAGAACCAGACGGTAAATTCACTGATGAGCGAGCATCCCGTGTGGTCTTAGAGGATTTGGAAACTTTGATTAGCCGAGTTACCCTGAAATGAAGATTAACGGAGAGCTAGCAAAGAAAGAGTTGGGACGGAACAGAATTTCCCTGTCACGGAGAATAGATGCTATGTCTTGCTCAAGTTTTATCAAGTGGGCAAGTTGATCGCGCCAGTTCTCGACTGCCTTATTGTAAAGCTGAAGAGCATCGTCCGCGCCGGAGAGGATATCAACGATGGTGGTCATAGTTTGTGCCAGAGAGGCCGAAGAACTACTAGGTATAGCCGAAGGTGAGGCAGCTGCGAATGCAGAAAGAGATGCTAGAGCAGTATGTGATATGGGGAAAAGAGCAGATAGATGTTTCGTATACTCCTTTTCGTGTGCTATGAGGTTGGACAGGAGACGAGAATCTGGAGGACGGTGGACCATCAGTTAAAGGCACGACAACGTATGATCGATTAGGTCGTGCTTGATGACGAGGAAGTGTTGCAGTGCACTGCGGTCAACGGTGAGGAGAAATATTTGGATAACAATATTTCCAACGAGGAGCAAGCAATGTGTCACGAGGCCAAACGTGACCAGTAACAACTTCAATATGGTTGGCCGCAGCTACTACTTTTACCTACTACTGTTTAGGCAGTTTTTCTGAGGATGGCTTCCTCCGCCGCTCAATGCTCATCCCATCCTTCTGAATACGGGATTTGGCGGAAGAAAGGGTAAAGGGTTACATGCTATGAAGTTGCTACAGTCCGGAGTCCGGACTGGGTATCCTCTTGGACGGACAACAACGAATCCAACTTAAATTGCCGCGAGGATGCTGATAAGGTTCCCAGTAGGTACTGTGCCCCTCGGATGATAGCATTCTTTGACCAATCACCATACTTCCTCACTATTGTATTGCTACTAGATGCACGACGCACTCAAGACGGCGCTTGCGTATCACTCAAATGTATAGACGTATCGTGACACTCTTACGAGATAGACATTGGTCGCTATCTCAGTAGCTTACCTCTTATTCAAGATCCAGCCAACCATTGCGTGCCAATTTGCGAAGTCCCAGTGCGGGTACGTACCCGCTGACGATTATCTTGACATTTTGTCACTTCGATATGCTACAGATCCCTATTTTGACACCGTTAGAGAAGTTGTAGACTGCATCATCAGCTTTGCGAGGTATGATCTTTATTGACCGACTCGTGATCTTGTCATTTATCTATTTCTTCTGAAGGGGCTGCTTCATGCACCGATATCAATGTGCTCACCGGTACGTATCCTGGTTACTTGAGTGACTTATGTTTATGACCTGAGCATAGGGACTGCATGCAGTTAAACCTACTAATAGATGATTGCATGCTCATAGGCACGTGGCATCCAAGCGATCTATAATGATATGTCGGAGGACTTCAAATCCGTGGCCAGGCATCATGCAAGTATGCAGTCCCCACTACGATACCAAAGTTACATAGACTCTGGTATCTCCCACAAATATGATGCATCCTAGAAATCATATGGTGGACATAAATGAGTTTCTGAGTTCGTGGAGGACTACACAAAACCTTGGAACCCTTTCCCAATTGATGTTTGGTATCTTTATCCCGCGTTTCCGCGTTAGACGACTGCTAAGTGTGATGATGCAGGAGTAAACCACATTTATTCGACAAGACACGGTACGTGAAACTAGTACGGTACAGAACAACAAAGTATCATGCAGAGATAAGTAAGCAACAGAGAGCGAGGCGAGGAAAACAACTAGAGATACAGTAAATGGAATCATATAGCGAATCGAGTCTCTAACTACACACCTATGTGGACAAATACAATCTGCTGCTCTAATGGAATCTTCTTCTTGCGCAACGATTTCACGGCCTTGTGTAGCGCTATCGCAGCGCGCATGCAGTCTAATCTTTTTGAATCATCAATGAGGTTGCGGTAAAAAGCAGACACGACCTGGCGTGCAACCTCGTCGTCAACAGACCACATGGAACCAATCACACTGCGAAATCCGCAGAATTGCATAGCGGCAGCAAGGTGGATCGACTCATCGGGGTTCTTCTCGTCGCCAACGGTAGTGTGGCAGGCTGATAAGAATGCGAACTGCGGGTTGTGCCAGTGGGATCGGATGATGTCCTTGATCATTAAAGGCCCGTCGCGCATGGCGAATGAAGACTCGAACGGTTGTGTCCGATTCGGCATTCCATGACAGGCAAGATGGAGCCACTGATTATGATCAAGTGCATCGAGTGCATTCTCGACTGTGGCGTTGGCATCCTCGAGGGATGTAAAGGAGATGATGGGAGTAACATGCTGAGCGACAGCGGCTAGTTCAGAGGTGACACATTTGAGCTCCCTCCCGTTTACCGGGTTGCCTTGACCGATGGCGACAAAATGTTGCGAGGACGTATCTCGAGAAACCTGCTGTCTGGCACGTATGAGAGTCGTCAAAGTGGGGGTGTAAGATGAGATGTAGATATCAGACAAATTGTCTTTCCTCTTCTCATAGGGTCCTGCTGCATGGAGGGGAAGCAGCGTGAACTCAGCAGTGGGACACCACCATATACGCGAACCAGGGCAAACATTTGACTGCCTGAGAGCTTGGACAATGGGGTCAACGACATCATTCCAAAGCTTGCGAAGGATGCCGACAAGCTTGAGTTGATTATCAGAAGAACCAAACTGCTCTGCGAGCGTGTGGAAGTTGGAAGAGAAGTCGGACACTTCGGCTTGTGTGATATCAAGCGGAACATTATATAGGATTCTTGTAAATAGGTTCGGTTGAATATATGGTTATGTTAACCCCTAGGCCCCGAAAAACGAAAATGGAAGGCCTACAAAATCCATTTTGGTAATCTATCATTACAAAATACAGCATATATAGCATATATCAAGTGTAGATCTAACTGGTACATTATAGCATCATAATGACATAACATACATCACACAAACTCATGGCTATACACACCAAAAATTCTTAATACATATATAGTATATCTAATGTTGACCTGTGATAGCGTTGAAAAATGGAGAAAATATCATATAGAAAGTATCATATCATATAGGAATAATATACGGTATAATGTATTCTAACGTCCGCGGTCGCCACAGGTCTATTGGCGGAACAACGGGAGCAAAAGAACGAATCAAACATACATACATGAACAGATAAATATAGTAAATTTCCGCACTTGGAACTGGTCCATCTGCGGACGTTAACAAGTTAATAGTCTATAATATATCATATATCATATATAAATGATAAAGATAAAGATAAAGATAGTAAAGATATATACCTTCTATCGACGCCAAAACAACATCACGTGATGCTCGCGGACCTCCAGTGAACATGAGGCAGAGGCACAGGGCGAAGGGCGGAAGGCTAGGGTAAACCAAAAATCTGGGAGCCGGATAATAAAATTTTTCACTGTTAGTTACTTACCATCGTGTTGCCGTTGCGTTGCCCCACAAGATCAACAAATTTTCGAGCTAAATGGCACCAAAGAAAGCTAAAGGAGGAGGAAAGAAGGGAGGATCTGGAGGAGTAAGCGTTTGGCATTGATCAGCGCGAGGAAAGACTAACCAATGGCACACTAATGTTAGGATGAAGGTGGATCGCACCTGCTACTGAATCAGCGTCCGATAGAGGCAGCACCTCCGAAGATAGACCTAGGCAAGGAGACGCAAAAGTTAGACTCACGGGTAGCAAAATGCAGAGCTGGCGTTGCATGGGTCAATCTGCTGCAGATCGGAGACACCCTAAAGTTCGGCGTGTACAACGATCGCCCTGAAAACGACGCGGAAACGAGCAAACTGGTGGCGGCGTTCAAGACCCGCATCGTGCCTATGAAAGAAACATCAGCAATCCCAATCATTGTCGATCTTAAGCGGGTTGGGAAC